CCCATTGATCTAGTTGGTTATGCAGTTGTTGAGGTTGGTTCATCAGCCGAGTCCATTCAGTTGTAAGACTAGATCCATATTGAGTTACAGTAGAGCCTATAGAAGCCCATACCCAGTCTCTTGGCCCATTGATCTAGTTGGTTATGCAATTGTTGAGGTTGGTTCATTGGCCGAGTCCATTCAGTTGTAAGACTAGATCCATATTGAGTTACAGTAGAGCCTATAGAAGCCCATACCCAGTCTCTTGGCCCATTGATCTAGTTGGTTATGCAGTTGTTGAGGTTGGTTCATCGGCCGAGTCCATTCAGTTGCAAGACCCATATTGAGTTACAATAGAGCCTATAGTAGCCCATACCCAGTCTCATCTGGTGCAACTCCATGTGCTCGATAATAGCCCATACCTAGTCTCATCTGGTACAACTCCACGTGCTAGATAAGTCAAATAGTAGGGTCTCCGAATGGCTCCGGCTCTTCAACATCTCCCCATCATCATCCTCATTGGCTCTTCAACATCTCCCCGTCATCATCCTCATCGTGCTCACCTCTAGCTCATCTGACCATCATCATCTGGCTTAAGTACTCCTCAACATCTCCCCATCATTATCCTCATTGTGCTCTCCTCTAACTCATCTGACCATCATCATCCTCATCGTGCGCTCCTCTAGCTCATCTGACTTAAGAATGAGAAAGTGGGAAACATAGCCAAAACTTATCTCATTTGACTTAAAGAGTGAGAAAATAGGGAACATAGCCAAAACTCGTCTGATTTAAGAGTGAGAAAGTGGGAAACATAGCAAAAAAAAAAAAAACGACTCTAGTTCATTTGACCTAAGAGTGTAAACATAGCCCAAAAAAAAAAAAAAAAGAGGGTCTTTTGGTAATAATAAAAAAAGAAAAAACACTTCTAGCTCATCTGACTTAAGAGTTAGAAAGTGGGGACCATACCCAAAAAAGGGTCTTTTGGTAATAAAAAAAAAAAAAACACTTTTGTGTTTGGGGGTGGTAGTAAAAAACCAAATATTGAAGTTAATAATGTGCTATAAAAAAAATGTTGAGCGACTACCCTTAGCACATACTAATTGAAGTATAGCTTTCATTGTTTTTCTTTTTAATGGACAAAACAATTGGGATTGCCAATTTTCATAGTTTTCGTCATGATAGTGTGAATGTGCTGATAATCATCTCATCATTTTTAGTACACATTGATTCCAGTATCGTTGCATTTCACAAACATCATGGAAAATGGGGCTCCCCTCTATGTCCATCACTGTTGATGACGAATATATGATTCGTTTAAAATAGTGGTTATGAGCCTGTGGAAGATGGATAAGATTGTTAGACAAATCAGCCGGGTCGAACCGGACCTGGCAAGGTTACCTGAAACCGGCCCATGGCCGGGTCTGTTCAAGGCCAGTTTTGGTGGTCAAGTTCGAAAAAGATTTACAAACAATTACTAAAATAATTTTAAAAATAAGAAAATTATTTTTAATGTGTTTTATATGTTTTTAACCATTTTGGCAAAGATTCGAAAGTATTTTGGCCATAAATATTTATTTTTACATTTGTTGTTCTGTTTTGGATTATTTTTAAAGGGTTATGTTATGGTACTCATAAATATGAGCATGTCCTTGATATAATCAACATATTTGACACTCATTGCTCCTTGTTTTGTGATACAATTTTTTTGAGTAAGGGCATTTTTTGTAATTAAGAGAGGTAGGATATATATTTTTATAAAAAACTAGTAGTATTTTATTAGTGATTAAGAAGCAGTTGTTGCTCCATGTGGGTAGAAGTGGCAATGGACCCAAGACCCAACGTCTTGACCCGGGTCTGGGTTTAGGTCCAAAAAATAGACCTGTCAGGTCGGATCTGGTCAGGGTCCATAACTTGGTCAACTTGGACTTGACCCACACCCGACCTGAATAGTGATTATTTAAATAAATATAACTATATATTTTTAGTTATAACATTTAAATAATACATGTATATATTTAACATAATATTTAAATATATTTGTTTTTTTTGGTCGAGTGCAGGTCCGGACCAGCTTGACCCGACCGGTCGTTTTCCTTTCATGTGGGTGATGTCACATTTCATGTGGATGATGCCATCTTGAACTATAGTTAATAAATGCGTCTCTTTCGTTTAAGAATTTTTAGTTACGCCTGATTAATTATCTAAAGTACCCTTAGATAAAAAATTTACTATATGGTGGGAAACGGTATTAGTATCCAAAAATTTAAAGAAATGCTCATACATGAGTACCGTAATACAACACATTTATAAAATAACCCTAATCACAAATTGATTTTTTAAAGGAAAAGTTTATATAAAGTTGCAACCTTAAAATGTAGAATTAAAGATGCATATAAAAAATCCATCGGAAAAGGTTGTTTTAATGTTGAAAAATCTTTTAATTGATCATCTCATTATCAAGACATGTAAATATGGAAGAAAAAATAAAGATTTTGAGTCCCAGAAATAATGCTTCTTGCAACGCATTATCTAGACCGTTCATTTTATTACGAAGAAAATAGATTTTCAAATAATCCTAAGAATTTTTTACATCAAATTTACATGTTATGATAAAATTTGGAGGTGTTCCTTAATTGGATTGTTGAAGGTTACACCTTATACAAACCACACCCCTTTTTTAAAATCTTGTTTAATTTTAATTTAAACATATTTTTAATTTTATTGTAATTTTTTTTAAAACGCTTCTTTTGCCTAATCGATACCTGTTCAACTCGGGCCAAACTTAGAATGAGTAGAGGAACTCTTAGGT